CAGGAAGAATCTGAGCATATTCTGGTTTCCTTTCAGATTATAATCTTACCTTTGTTCCTTTCCATTTCTGTCGCCTGAGGTCTTGTCTTTCTTTTAGTTTCCTTTCACTTTTCTCTCTTCCTAGTTCTGCCTTTCTCAAGGTTTTAAGGCCTTAAAGAGAGGAGAAAATAAAAAAAAAATATATATATATACACACACACACACACACATGGATACTGGATTCCTCTGACCATCAGGTAACTAAATCCATTTTGATCAGAATCAAAATGACAGTATTTTGCAACATGACCCATAATCTTTATTATTCACTGGTGGGGATAGAGAAGTGAGTTATGATTTCCAGAACAATAATAAAATACAAAGATGTAGGAATTTGAATACCCAAGTCCAAACCTGGACTTGGACCCTACCAGCTGTGTGTAGCTTCGGCAAGCATCTCTTAACTTGAGGTTTTCGTTTGTAAAATGAGAAAAATAATCCCACTCCCTCCCAAGGTTGTAGAGAGGTTTAAAAGAGCAATTATGTATGAAAACACTTTTAACTTATACATAATTTCAGCATAAAGCAGTGTGGGATCAGGGCCTTTGCTGACTATGGAATGCCACAAAAGTTTGGAGGGACATCTGTTGAACTGGCTGTTGGATATCCCCCCTGGAGAGCCCACCAACCCATTTCGTCACATTCACAACCCTTCCCCTAAACTGAGCTCCCCCTCTGCGAGCTCCAGTTCTGCTAATGGAACTGGGAGGCATTTCGTCATCCAAAAGCCACACACACACACTTAATCTTCTGAATCAGGGACTGTAGTAAGTGCTAGGGATTGAACATTGAACATGGCAGACAACATTCTCTTCTTTAGGGCACTTACAATTCATTTTGAGTGGGATTAGACAGATCATAAACAATTAAAATTAAATAAACAAAGTAATAACTGAGCAAGGCCTCTGGTTGTGAGGACAGCCTGCAGTAAGGCCTTAAGGCAGGACTGCCCCATTTGCAGTATACAAAGACACTGGAAGGAAATGCCTGAGGGAGACAGCAGTTCCCATGAGGTCTGTAAAACAAGCAGGCCCAGACCTTGCAGGGCCTTCCAATCCGTGGTCCAGAGTGTGTATTTGATTCTAACGAAGCCTCTGGAGATAAGCAACTGAGTGGAATGATTTAGTTTGTGTTTTTTTTTGTTGCTGGTGGCTGGTTTGGTTTGGTTTTTTATCAGTCTGGCTACAGTGCAGAAACTTGGACTGGAGAGAGTGTTGGTGACCCAATGTAGAGGCAGGAGCCCAGCTGGTCAACTCCACAACAGTAAAGGCAGCGATGACTTGGATGGCAGAATGGAGTAGACATGTATTTTGAAGTCAGAAACAAGAATCCATGATGGGTTTCATGCAGAGATGCAAAGAGAAAGAGAAAATAACTCATTTTCATATCAAAGATGACTCCTGGTGGCTGAAGCAGCTGGACAAGTGGTGACTGCATTGGCTGCAATGCGGGTGAAGAGGCGGGAGGAACACAGAGCCGGTGAAGGAGGGAATAGCACAAGAGAGGCTTAAGCTTCCATCGTTTTCCCCACTTAACCTTTATGTGCAAAAGCTGGTTTATCTTGCCAGTTTGACCCTCACAAGTTTCTCAAAATCACTTCTCCCTTTCCATCTCCAATCTACCACCTGACTGATCATGTATTCCTGCCTCAATTCAATGTCTCCACTTCCAATCCATCTGCTGTTCCCACACTAGCCCCGCATCCTCAGGACTCCCTGGAATGGGGGGTAACCCATTTGCCTTTATTGCTTAAGACCTCAGCATTGCGCTTTCTGTTACTCACACATAAGGGCAGACAAACCAGACCCTCAGAGTCCGACCCTAGTCAGCGCTCAACTACCAGTCCTCTCCCCAACAAACACCATCCTTCTCAGTCATGCCAAACCATGCAGCTTTCCCCGCTGCCTCCGTCTCCTGCCCTCTCTTGCTCCTCTGGGCCTCTGTGTCTGCTGGTCCAGCTGCCTGGGATATTCTCTCTCCTCACTTCCACATTCTAAATGCGTCCTAACCATTCCTCAAGATCTAGTTTCTATTTCTTTTAAGTGAATTTAAAAACTAAAATTTCTCATCTTTGACACCTTTCGTGAGTTCTTCTACCATTCTCCTGGTTCCTAGGAAATCTGCCTTCATCTCCATCAGAATTCCTTCCACAGGGCACCATAAAAATTCCTCCTCAGCCAATTGGTACTGCCAGAAACACAGTGCTTGGGTCTGTTTCTTCCTTGCTGCCCAGTATGTAATAACACCAGGTCTAGCACAAGACACACACACGAGATGTTGAATGAATGAATGAACGTCAGAGTGGGTCATCTTGCCAGTTTGTGTCCCCCTCACCCCCAACAATTCATATTGGAAACCTTAATCTCCAGTGTGATGATATTTGGAGGTGAGGTCTTTGGGAGGTGTTCAGAGTTAGACAGGTTATGAGGGTAGGGCCCTCATGATGGGATTAATGCCCTTATAAAAAGAGGATACATGAGATACTCCCCTACTCCCCCCTTTCCATGCATACTCCAAAGAAGGCAATATGAAGATAAAACAGGAAGCAGGCTCACACCAAGAACTCCACCACTCCAGCCTCCTGACCTCAGACTCCGAGCCTCCAGAACTGTTAGCAATAAGTGTGTACTGTTAACACCCCCAGGCGATGGTATTATTACAGCAGCTCCAACAAACTAAGATAGATTCTAAAGTCTTCAAAGAAAGTGAAAATTTTGACTGGTCAAAATAAATCTTAAAAATCTTCTATACCACACACTAAAATACAGTGTTTATGCTATGTGTCCTATACAGTAATTCTTATCCCCAGTGAGTTTTATGAAGCACTGGGTGCCACTAAAGGAGAGACTGAACAGAGAGGTCATATGACAATCTCTCATTCAAACCACCCCGCTTTCAAACAATCACCGATCACTAATGGTGGAAGGTGGGAAGATGGATGGAGACTTTCACAATGACTCCTTCTTGCCTAAAGGACTTTACTGGATTTGTGTTTTAATGTTTTGCCTCTGTAAATTTAGTCCCCAGTAAACCAAGAAAAAGTTGCCATTATCATTTACCATTAGGGTCCAAAGGAGCCTTTTTATTTTTATGAGTAATTAACAGAAGTAGTAATAAAGGGAAAGGTTTTAAAACTTCATTGCAAAATTTAATAATTTAAACACAGAAAATTTCCATTCCCTATTTTCCTGACTTTAAAGGTATATAAACTCAAAATGGGCAACATTCTCTACATGCAACTAACTGTCCATCAGCTGTCATGTATGCTCTTGGGACAGATCCAGCTTATCAATACTGATTTCAGACTTCAAGTAAATCTCTAATACATTCTAGGTTATCATTATTTCCTATCGTTGGTCTTGCACTTACATCATTGAACTGGTTACTTATGAAAACTTTGATGCATCATAATTTTGGTAAAGAGAAGATGGTCAGCTTCTTTTCTCCACAATGCAAAGCATTTTCATTTTTAAATTTACATAAAAATGATTAGTCCAGTCATTTTATTTTGATTAGTACAATCTTCTTTTTTTCACTTTTATTATCACCTATTTCCTTTTGATCAGCTTCTCCAACTTGATCACCTTTGTCCCCTTCAAACTGTTTCAAGGAAACTTTGGTAACCAAATACCACAAAAGGTAAAGGAGTATTGGCCCCCATTCTTTTCGCTAAAACAGGATGGTCCAGGTTCTTGCAAAATATTGGGTGATGAAATCATTCCTGTTGAATGAATAACTGCATGAGAATATCATATTTTTCTTTTTGTCCTCAGAAAGATACTGTTTAATCATTGATTCTGAAGTTTGAGGAAATCCATCCAGATTATTGTCTTGCAAGACTCACAGTGTGAGACTTTACTTAGAAAATCTATGTTACTATTATCATTAGAGTCGACATCACCACTGTCTCTTCTGATTTGCCTACTTACTGTAAAACATTTTCCTCTGTCAATTCTCTTTAAAATTTTGTGCAGGAAATGAAATATTCTGTATTTTCTACTGTGTTTTTCAGTGAAAGAGATAATAATAAAACTATAAAGATGGTGTCCTCTATGTTCTCTTATGCCTTCCTGAAAGATGATGTAACACTCTAAGCAATGTAGTAAGAAAACTGAAGGCTGATGTGACAGTGATGATTTATTTCCCTGTTGCATCATCCTCCCAGATGGTGATTCCCAGCATTCTTCCATTTTATTATTTTAACTGTTTTCTAGTATAAGCAATAATTAATGAACAATGATGAAATACTTCCTAGGATGATAAAAATGGAAAATATTTCAAGATATAAGAAAAATAAGATCACTAAAATCCCATGAAGCGTATTAGATTTAGAAATGGTTCCAATGGTCCACATGGTGGATTCAAGACACAATGAGTTTTATTCTGTTTTTGTTAGAAAGTAAATGTTCTCTTTGATTTTTGGAAGATGTCTTTTAAAAGATCAAAAGTCATGAAAGATCAGCCTTTACAAGAGTTAGAAGTACTCAGGGAAAAAAAGTAAACTTGAAAATTAAAATTGGCTCCAGTGAATCTTGATCGTATCCTGACAGTTAAATCACATTAATAGATTTGGTTGTTCTGTGAAGCTTTTCAAATTCTAGCTCACTGGAAAACTGCCCCACAAAAGGACTCTTCCCTCACCCACTTGAAATCCAACAGTTCTCAAGCCAAGGTTGAAACCCAGCCAGAGAGAGCTCCACAGGATTCCAGCACCATGAGGGCTCACCTCTGGGCTGCACCAGCACTCCCCGTGGAGACCATCTGGGACCTGTTCTCCTAGAGTTCATTTCAGCATACAATGAGGAAGCAAAAATTATGACCCAAGAAAAAGAGACAGCTTCTGGAATATAGTTCAGTCTTCAGAACAAGACAGTCAGACACCTGAAGTTTACTGCTCTATATTCTTCCCAGTAAATGTATATATTGTGAGGGAGACAGTGTTCCTATTCTCCTGGGGTTTTTTAATCTTCTTTTTTATCTTTTCTTTCAGTCAATCCATGAATACAGTTTGACTATTAACTTATGACGCAGAGGAAATGTCCAATTCACGGAAGTGGTGTGTTCCCAAACTTTGGGAGTTGTTGTTCTGGGAACTCAGAATATATTTTCCTCCAATAAACAAGATTGTAAATGATGGTGGGGTTTCCAGACCAACCCCACAAAAGCCTTCCTAACTCCTAATATTATCAAAGCCCTGGTCTTTTAAGGTAAAAATTAGTAGAAAGTAATTTTGTTGTAGGACTAATAAACTCAAATATTGAAGACATATTCCCTTTTATCCTGAATTCTATTTAATGAAATAGCCAGTTTAATGGAAGAAGGGGAAAAGATGGAGACTTTTTAGGGAGAGAACCTCTACTTTCAAGAATTTCAGAGACTGACAGCAGCAGTTTGTTATTTTGTCTGGTTTTTCTTCAATACCATTTTGCATTTTCCTTCCTGCAAGCATGACACAAAGGAGCCATGATTAGGGTAGATTAGGGGCTCACATAGGAAGGTAGCAAAGGATGGAGGAAGAAAAGCAAAAAGTTTGAAAGAGATTTCCTTCATGGGACTATTAAAGCATGTCCACGTGAGGAGAAGATGCCTAAATCAGCATTAGTTGATTTGCCAAGGAGACTGGGGAGAAAGCAGGAGGCCCAGTATTAGTGCCAGGCACCTGAGTCAGGAAGAGATGAGGGGGTCCACTATTTGGTCAGACAGTTCCCCATCTGACCATAAGGTGGTGCTATCAGCCCAGACAGTCATCCCCAAGGGGGTGGGGTGTGCAGTAGGAGGAGCTCTCCATGTGAAAGCCACGTTTTCCTCTCAGGCTCTGGAACTCACAGAAATCGACTAGACAACATGTATCAGCCTACACAACCGCGCCTCAACACCTAACTTCAGTTCCCATCCTCCAAAGCCCCACCTACTCACACCTGAGCAAGAACACCTTCTGTCCCACTGGGCATCACCACCCACATCAAGATTCCAACTAATTTACTTCCCACTCCTCTCATCTGTATTCTCCTTCACAATGTCAGCACTGGGCCCCTCACATTTCCTAATTCCAAAAGGGAATCTAATCTAAGAGCACCCTGGAGTCTCGTCCTCAAGTACCAAGATCTATGGTGAGCACAGATTTGTCACAAAGGCCTTGACAACAGGGCCCCAGAGGCCCTTGCCAGCTTTATGTTCCTCTCTAACACCAAACTGAACAACCCCGCTTCCAGATAAAAAGTCCTACCATATCCTCTCCATGCGTTTACCCCCATTGGTCCTCCCTCTGTGACACCCTCTCTTTTCCTTACCTCTGCTTGTCAGTATCCTCTCCCACTTTGCAAAACTCATCCTAAATACCCTGTTCCCCAAAAACCACTTACAAAGTGTTTAACTAAATTTAACTGGTGAGCTGGAATTAGAGAGGAAGACATGGGTCCATGTATCAACCACAGAAGCCTCAGGATTTCAGATTGGGTCTAAAACTGAGAAGGAGGCCCATCCAACCAGACTCCCTGCTGAATATTTGCAAAACACCAGCTGGTCTATCCTTGCTCCTCCCAAGTCTTAATTCCCATCCAGGGCAGACACAGGTCTAGAGAGACCCCAAAGCCACAAGCTTGGTGTGTGGCAGTGTCTGTTCTCAATTTAAGTTAGCTTTATAATAATCATCATCATAACCATTATTACTGTCCCCTCCCCACCCCCACTCTCATCAGCTGCAGTCTATCATGCCAGGCCTGAGTTATAGAGTTAAAAGAATGAGGGAGGATATTACAGCCAAGTCACCTGTCTTAGTGACCTTTCCCATTCCCATCCCAGCCCTTTGGCCTAGACTGGTAGTCTCAGCAAACTGCCTCCTGATTCTGCAAAATTTTTTCAGCCCTGATGGGAATGACTGGGATAGGCATTCTTCTCTGGATGTTTGGCCCTGGCCCAGTCACTTGGAGATACAACCTTTAAGAACTAGTATCTGTACTAGTAATGCCTCAAAACCTAGCTACTACTCTCTCAGTTCTAAAGGAGCAGTTGGCTCAGTTGGGAGCCTCAAATGTTCCCTGTGAGGCTGGAGCAAATAGCCTCAACATGAATTTCTAAGTTATGCAGGTTCCCTGAAGGCAGCCCCCAGGGACCTCATTGTGGCAAAAGATAGTGCCTAGCCAAACGCCCTGGGGAGGCAGCGGCCCAGAGCTCTCCATCTGCCTGGCTGCTGTTGCAGGTGCCCTCAGAGCCTTGATAAGCATACACAGAGTGTGAGTATCCAGCAAAGATGGGCTTGCTCCCACCCCATGGACCTCTCTTATTTCTGTTGCTCAAAGAACGGAGTGACCAGATACCTTAATGCCAATGTTGCTTCTGTTCTCACCTACAAGAGAGGCTCCATGGAAAAAAGCCAGGAAATTCAGGGGCTTATGCTGTCTGAGGGAGGCCAGACTGCTGCTGTTTGTTCTGTTTTGACGTTTAAGGATCTAGGGAAGATAGTTTTTCATAAACTAATAAAAGAAGCTAAGTTAACTATGTAAACAAAAGCAGGGTGGAAAGTGAGAACCACCCATTTTAATGTACTTGTACCCCACCTCCTTCCACAAAAGATCTGAGGCTGCAAAAAATAATTGCTACTGGAATCATGGACAGAAGTAGTCTGTTTCTTGCCACCGCTGCAGACTGAACCATTTATTGGGGCTCTGAAAGTCGGGTGGGGATGGCGTACAGCGGCTCCAGGAGCCCACTCCGAAGGCGCCCTCCCTGCCCCTCCTGTCTGTCTTCCTGACTCAGGGCCGCTCCACGCGCTGGCCCGCGGCGGCCACCTTGGCCCCTGCCCACCTTCCCTACGCCCTAGTGCTGCCGGGACCCTAGGAGGTAAGATTTGTAAGTCGAAAGGCTACGGGAGGATGACCTGTCCGGAGCGTCTCCGCACCCCTCCCCCAACCGTGTCACATGGCAGCCCCAACGAGGCGCGCAGTGCGTCCCGCCGCGGAGACCCAGGGCAGCGTCGCCGCGGGCAGTGGGTGATGAAACCTCCCCGGCGCATTACCGCGGAGGGTGCAGGCAGGGAGCGGAGCGGGGCGGGGGTGAGGGGTAGGAGCTGGTGCCCAGGCTCACCTGTTCTCCAGGAAAGGAGGGTGGGGACGGCGCGGGAGGGGGGAGGGCAAATCGACCCGGGGTGCGTGCGGCTGGGCGCTCCGCCGCGGCGCCTGCGTCCCCACCCTCCCCCAGCGCTGCAAGCCCCCAGAGCTGCGCCGTCGGACTGACTATGCCCGGAGCAGTTCCTGTCCCCGGCCCTGGCGCCGGGGAGACGTGAGCGTGCACACGTACACACACAGCGAGGGAAGAGGCGCTCCGAGCGGCGCCCAACTTTCTCCCTGCTCCCGCGGGCCGGGGGAGAATGAAGCCTGGGGCAATCCAGCCCCAACCTTGCTTGGAAAGGGAACTCGAGCAAGAAGGGAGAAGAGATGGAGAGAATTTCCCCCGGTTTGGTTTTTCGGGAGGTTGTGTTGTTTTGTTACCATTTCTACCGATGACTAGAAAATAATGGGAATACGGCGTAGGGCATCGAGTAGCGCTTTGGGAAAATGGAAGAGGTGTTGGGAGACGCCTAAAGTTGCCTTTCAAGCTCTGGCCTCCGGGGCAAGCGATGCTCAGCGGCGGGCTGACTCAGGACTGCCTGGGCCTCCCTGCCACCCGACTGGAAATGATGCAAGTCCAGTCTGTCACCTGGATTCCTTTCCGGATGCCCGGAATCCGTCTGGATTAGGGGAGGAGCGAGAAATTGGCACACTAGGTGTTGCATGGCCCACCAAAGCGGGGCAAAAAGAAAAGGGAAAGATGGGGCAGTTGCTCAGGCCAAGTCCTGTATCTAGTGCTTCTGCTTCTATCTTGAATAGTTTGAGGAGTGTTGTGTGTGGTTTTTTTTAATGCAAGAGTCAGAACGCTAGGGATTATACCGTATGTACTCAGTTAATTCCCAGTATCACTGGGACCAGGAAACTCCTCCAATCTGTCAAGGCCTCGGGGATAAGTATCCCCCCGAATTCCAAACGGCAGAATAAAGGAAACTTTCCCAGCCCGTTGCGGGTGTGAGGAGAGCCAGGGGCCCGGGAAAAGCTGTCGCAGCGCAGTCCGTCCCTTCTCTCCCCCTTCTTTAACTGCAAACGGAGCAGGGATTCACTTTTTTTTTTTTTTTTAAGACCGTTCGGCCATTGGAGCACCCGCACACGCGCATGCATCTCCGACCGCGCTCACACACACACACACACACACACACGCACGCACGCAAACGCGTGGCTGTGGCCAGGTCGGCAACTTTGTCAGGCGCTCCCAGCAGCGCTCCGCTTCCCCCAGTAGTAGTTGGTTGCAGGCCCCGCCTCCCGCCCGTGTTGTCAAACGGGCGGGGGTCTAGGATTGGTCCAGCCGCCGGGACAACACCTGCTCGACTCCTTCATTCAAGTGACACCAGAGCTTCCAGGGATATTTGAGGCACCATCCCTGCCATTGCCCGGCACTCGCGGAGCTGCTAACGGCCTGGTCACATGCTCTCCGAAGAGCTACGGGAGGGCGCTGGGTAACCTCTATCCGAGCCGCGGCCGCGAGGAGTAGGAGGGAAAAGGCGAGCAAAGAGGAAGAGTGGGAGGAGAAGGGGAAGCGGAGAAGGAGGAGGGAGGGGAGGAGGAGAGCACAAAGAATCCAGGTCTCGGGGCGGGAGGTTTACACCAAGAAACATGTGTGCCGAGCGGCTGGGCCAGTTCGTGACCCTGGCTTTGGTGTTTGCCACCTTCGACCCGGCTCGGGGAACCGATGCCACCAACCCGCCGGAGGGTCCCCAAGACAGGAGCTCCCAGCAGAAAGGCCGCCTGTCCCTGCAAAACACAGGTAAGTGCATGCGTCCCCGCGGCGGGTAGGTGCTAGGAGACAACACCGTGCACCCATGCAGCGCGCCCCGGGCGCTTCGCCTGGAACTGGGCGTCCACCTAGGGCCTCTCAAACTCTTGGGGTGGCCCGGGACGTGCACAGGAAAGCATGAAGCGAGGTCCGCGCCAGGCTCCGCGCGCCCGGAATCCGCACGTGCTGGCAGGGTGATGAAATGGCTGGGTCAGGACTTGTTGCTGTCCTCCCTGGGGTCGAGGGTAAATGAGGCAGCGCCTGGCGCGACTAGTGCCAGCCCCGGAATCCCCGGTCCAGTGCGAAGCCCCCTGCTCCATCCTGACCGGCCCGCGGAGGACCCCCGGAGCCGGGCTGCTCCCTGTGCCAGAAGAACTTCAATTCCCAGCCATCCGGCCACTGCAGGACTGCTTCTCCCCTTACTCAAAAGATGCCTGACATCCGAGAACTTTGTAGGCTAGACAAATTGCACTGAGAACTTTCCCCTCGGGGGCGCTGATTTTGGAAGGGTGTGGGGGGATAGCGCAAAGCGTACCTCTGCGGTGCTGCCGCCGTTCTCCGCTCCAGGGCAGGTCAGGAAGCGAAGAAATGGTGACACGGCCCGCCGCTGCTCAACCGGCTCTCTGCTCGCCGGCAAGCTGCCGAGCAGAGCCAGGCGTGCAGGGCACGGGGCTGGCCCTTTTCCCAGTTCCGGGAAGAGAAAGAAAACCTGCCTACAGCCCCTTCGCTCTACGTGGTCTCCCGTTTTATTTGGGGGGGTCTGCGAACCTGGCGGCAGCGTGCGTGAGCTCACCGCACGAGCGAGAATGCACGAGTGCCCATTAGGCACGCCGCAAGCTAGTGAATCGCGGCCCTGCGCGCTCCTGCCCGGCGCGCCGGGGCCGCGCGTGGGATCACCCCGGAGCCTCCCTCCTCCATACGCAAGCGCTGGCATCGCGATTCCGCGCCCGGCTCTTAATAGGACCCTCGCCCACCCTTCCCCCTCTCCAGCGCTTTCCCTGAGAACAGAACGTGATTCTCGGTAGTTGGTGACCTCAACAAATACACGCCCCTCATTCTCTCGGGTGATTAAATCTGAATGCGGATTATCTATACCGACCCCGCCCTTCTTCCAAAATATACTTTTCTGATGTAATTTTGTGGTTGGTTTAAATCAGGGAATTGGGTAGGGGGAGGGAAGGAAGAGAGGCTTTGCACGCGGCAGCCTGACAGTTAACTCCCTCACTCAGTCCTTTCGGATAGACGAATTAGAGCCACGTTCTGCGAATCCTTCGCAGCAACTCCTGGGTCGAGGGAATTCTAGGGGATTAAGTGATGTCTCACACCGGATCTCTATTTAAAAGGGGTCTCTAACTGGGATAGTTGCTTTTCTGCAGGCTAGCCCCCATGCAACTCCATTCCTGAGACTGCTCACAGACTGGGGCTTCCCTAGCCTGGTATTTTTAATGCGGATGGTTTGGAGGCGCTGCCTTAATAGGAATTTTGTTTTGATTTTTAGGTGTTGAATCATAAAGCTGAATTGAAACTCCTTTTTGGATGCCCTCATTTGGGGGTCAGGAAGGAAATGGCTATGATTTAATAGTAGCAGCTTCACTTTCCAAATAGAGAAGGGTATTTCATTGATGAAGTACAGAAGGGAGAGAGCAAGCTAGTCATTTAGAATCTTTTTTTTTTTTTTGTCTGTGGGTTTAGAAAGCTGAAGTATCTTGTGCTTTCAAACTAAGTATTCCCACAAACACTTTAAGACAATGAGATGGATGAAAAATGAAGTGCTCAGACTTAACCTCTGGTTGTAATTTTTGTAATGTAGGTTTGGCTGATTTTTTGTAAATATTTACAAATACTGATATTTTCATAAATAGATTAAATGATGAAATGTTCTTTCCCTGGCTTTTTAGATCCTGAAATAGTCATTTCTAACTTTTCTTTTAGTCATTACTAACCTTTATTTTAACCAGCCACTCTGCATTCCCCAGCATGGCTGAGAATTTTGTATATATTTCTATGTAATTCTCATTTTAGCGGAAATCCAGCACTGTTTGGTCAACGCTGGTGATGTGGGGTGTGGCGTGTTTGAATGTTTCGAGAACAACTCTTGTGAGATTCGGGGCTTACACGGGATTTGCATGACTTTTCTACACAACGCTGGAAAATTTGATGCCCAGGTAAAAATCATAAAGTACAAAGAATGTTTGGGGTTAGGGTAGCATGATTAAAATGTTCATTGGAAAGACCTGTTAACAGATTTCTTTAGCTGATTGCCACCGTGTGTTTCAGTACTTGCAAGAGACATTCTGGGTATACAGCAGGATGCCAGTGTCTCCCCACTCCAGTCCTGGGGTTCTGCTCTCTGGAGCTGTCATGTAGGCCGCCAAATTTTTCTCCACTCTTTAGCTTTGTCTACACAGAGAAAATGAAAAGGAGATCAAGTTGCACAATTATCTGAGGATTCTTAGCAAAGAAGACAAAAGTCATAATAAATGATAAACATCTTGATGGGGACACACTATGTCTGGTCATCCATAATCCAGTCTGCAAGGCCTATCACACTGGGAACAGGAGGCTTGGGGGGAAGGGCAGGGACTCCAATTATACATTTCAAAAGCTACTTTGACCTCATAGGAAAGAATAAAAGAGACACAGTATTCATAGAAATTCATCATATCCAGCGGGTGTGTGAGCAGGCAATGTGGGTAATTCAGGGCCTCCGGAAGAGCAGACTTTAATACCTCCTAAGTAGCAGACCCTTCTTGTACAACCTGGGAAGCCAAAACCCTGGATGAGTCCTGCTCTATATAATAAATACGGCCCAGGCCTGACTCACTTTGGTTATCCCTGGATGCCCAGGGTAAAACCTAGGTGCTGCCTGGATCAAGGAAAGACCCAGCAAGCCCCCCAGGGCTCCAGGTCTGACACTTCATAAGGCATGTGGCATTAGGATCACCTTCCTCATGTTCTGCCCAGCTAATGTATGCACTATGAAGCACCCTGTTACTCTATCTTATAAACTTCCTCTCCCATTTCTTGGGAGAGTGAAGACAACATTTGGATGAGGCCAATCTTTAGGTGTGACTTATAAATGTCACCAGGTACCGCCTACTGACATCCTGTAGCCGGCCTGACAAAGCAATGCTTGGGAACCAGAAAGGGATGCAGTGGGGCTGGCAGCCTGCGTTACAGAGGATGTGGGGTGGCAGCAGGGGAAACAGACACCGAGGAAGGAAAGAGAAGAATGTTTGAACTCTTTGAGACTCCCTAATAAAGCATCCCTTCTGGATTAACTGGAATTAGGAAACATAATAGGAAATCCGGAGGAAAGATGTGTATTTAAAGGCAATCCCACAGGATGTCATGGAAGAATACCAACAGATTGCCGCAGCCCTCACATAAATTAATCTTCCTTTTTTTCTCAACCAACAGGGTTATGTTCTCAAGTTAGAAACATCCCTTTCAAGCTGGTCCTCAGCATATAACTACTTAATAAACTGGTACACCCTACCCTTCATCCTATTTGGTTCCCACTGGAAAGTCAGAGGAAATGGGCCACAGGGATGTGGTTTTTCAGTGATCAGACACTATCTGTAGACATTTCAGTTGCTCCTAAAGGGAGAACAGAAATAAATGTCCTGGCTGGCTTCCCACTTCCAACCTAAACCCATATACTTTCTCAACTCAGTTGCTTCTGGGCCTGTCTAAAAATGGGGTGACTCCCCAATGACAGCTTGTTTCTATAGTAATGGGGAAGATGGAGATCCCTGGGTAGGTATCCCACAGTGCCTCTGTGCCTTGAGAGGTTGATAAGGGAGCTAACGGCCTGGCCCGAACTCGCCTCACACCCCCAACAGCTGTCTCCTTTCTAGGATAAGAACAATCTAATGGGGTTGCCAGAAAAGAGAACTGTAGGCCAGATGTATGCCTGGCTGCCTTAGCCACTCAGAGGCAGGGAGTGTGGGGGAGGGGCTGTCAGTTGGACAGTTCAGACTCCAGATGCTGCCAGGCAGTGTGCCAGGCGGGCCTTTTAGAGGCAATAATCCCAACAGTTTAAAGGAGTCGAATCGTTTTCAAAAAGGAAAAGAATGCTCCTCCTTAAAGGATAGGAGGAGATGAGAGTATGAACTGGGAGCAGTGGGAGGCATGGAGGCAGAAAGGGCAGGCGCACTTAGCACCCGACCTTGACATCACTCACGGAAGAAAAGGTAAAAAGAAAGGTGTGAGACCTGGACAAGCAGGCACCTTCTATGTGGGAAAAACACTTGCCAGGAACCACCAAGGAGTTCTGGATTTAAGTCTGGCCAGATTCTCCTTGTATTTCAGAAGAGTTGCCACCAAACAGCCAACCCTGGGCTGCTTGAGAACAAACGGCCACCGAAGCCCCAGGATGAGGGAAACTGGTCGGGCAGCTGGGGAGGAAGGAGGCAGATGTGTCAGTCTCCAGAAGTAACATCCTTTTTGGCCAAATGCCGGAGGTTTCATGTCACTCTGGACGTACCTCCTGATGTAGCAGCCGCCTGCCACCTGCAAAGACATCAGTCCGAGGCAGGGCCTTGGGGTTTGGCTGCCAGAAAAATCCTGTGTAAGCACAAGAAGAGCAAATGTCTAAGCGTGTGACCAGGACTCCTCTCTTCTGCCCCTCTCCTGCTTCTCTATCCTCTCTGTTCCCAGGGCAAGTCATTCATCAAAGATGCCTTGAAGTGTAAGGCCCATGCTCTGCGGCACCGATTTGGCTGCATAAGCCGGAAGTGCCCGGCCATTAAGGAAATGGTGTTCCAGTTACAGCGGGAATGCTACCTCAAACACGATTTGTGCTCTGCCGCCCAGGAGAACACCAGGGTGATGGTGGAGATGATTCACTTCAAGGACTTACTGCTACATGAGTGAGTGCTGCCCTGCAGGGACCCGGGGGAGGGGAAGGGGTACATAGAGGAAGTGGGTTGGCAGCCTGCTGCCACTGGAGGAGAGCCTCCTTCAGTCTGAGGGGCTGGTTTTTAGAGGCTGAACTCTCCTGTTAAATGGGAAAGGCTGTGGTTTACTTCAGAGAGCTGCACTGCCTCCCCTGGGAGTCCCTTTCTCGCTGGCCCTCAGGAAAGCGAAATAAATTTCCACCATCGGTTTCAAAGTCATAGGCAATAGAAATAGGACATTTTTACTAAGTATGAAATGTGTAGGATAAAGAAATACCCTCTCTCTTCCCCTCAGCCCCGATCCCAACAGGTCTCTTGAGTATTCCAGGTAGCTGTGTAGGTCCCCAGACAGTTAGCCGAGAGCCAACATTTGCTGAGTAGTTACTGAGAGCCAGGCATTGGGCTAAGGGCATTATATATGTTTTCACTTGATCCTCTCAACCCTGTGAGCTAGGTACTATTCTCTTGTCCATTTTACAGATGAGAAAACTAAGATTCACTGAGGTAAAGATCTCTCAGACAATGAGAGCCAAATCCAGGATCAGGAGCTAGGCAGTCTGGCACCAGAGTATCACCCTTAAATGCCAAGAGCTGACAATAATAGCATTTTTTCCTGCCCCCATAAGCCCTCCTTTGCTTTAGTAGGTCCATTCACCTTCTCCATGTCTTTACTATCCTCCCAGAGAAAATGCAAAACAAATGTCAAAAACTTGAATCAGCTAAACACCTTTATGCCAAAATGCAGAAATATGAACTTAGTTATACAAAGACTTGCAATTCAATAATAAACCCAGGACATCTCATTCCTTTAAAAAATCCCATCTATAGGGTCCAAATTTTGCAGTGGTGAAGCATGTTGGGTACACAGTTGCTCCTAACATGAAGGATGGTCAGCCCCTGCATGTTATGATGGCTCCTCCCTCAGAGACTTAAGGCAGAGAGCACACCACTGCCTGAGCAGCCCAGTAGAAGTCATTGCCAGCTGGATGGCACAGCTGGTCTTTACACAGTGACTCATTGGGCCCGATCAGTACAGTTTTATGAACCTTGCTCCTTAGTTCATGCCATGGCTTTCCCTCCACTATGTCACTGAACAGGCCACACCCCACCCAACTCATACCGCTTAGATCATGAAGACAAGAGCCATCACCTGTCACTTTCCACTTATTTATGAGGTTCTTGGTATCTTGCAACAGTGTTAGCATTATAAGGTTCCCTGTAAATCTCTGCAGGCAAATAATGTTGCCTTTTCCTTGAGTCCTGCTAATGCCTCTTAAAATACTTTTTTATTCTTCCAAATACCTGTAAACAAACAAAGCAACACACACATCCACATAAATAATAATAGCTACCATTTTTTGAGTGGGCCAGGCCCTTAGCCAGGGACTTTGCATGGTCGTTATCTCATGTATCTTTCCCAACAATTCGAATTAAAGATTACTATCCCCATTTAGCGGGGTAGGGTGTGGGGGGGTAAAGCTAAGATGTTAAAGATGTTGCTCTGAGGTTTGAGTCCCACTTTCCAACTTGGGAATTGGACCTCTGCTGATATATATATGACTGAAGCCAGATGTCAGTAGACCACAAACTTCCTTACTCCTGGTCTACTCTCTCCCCACCAGACCTGCTAAAGTTTCTCTCCACTAGTCCCCAGATATGGCAGGAGTTTTTCCCTTTTCTCAAATATATCCCCGCTACACAAGGAGAGTGCTGTGAACTTCCGGTTTCCGCCCTTCAAGCAAATGCCCAAGGCTGAGAAATTCATGAAGTTCATTTGTCCTCAACCCACTGCCATCCATTATAGATAGTTTGCTGGCCTACAGAATGTATGATGACACGGCACTAGTTTATAAGTCTACAATATGTTCCCAGAGCACAAGAAGACTTGTCTTTTTAGAGAAAAGTCTTCTTTGGGAAAACTGAAGGCTTTGAAGTTTTTCACCCCCCTTGAAATTTAAGAAGGGGTAAAGTGCTGTGGCTTTGTGGTGTCTCCTCCATGGAAACATGGCCCATGGGGCCATGAAACCCTGACTTCCAGAGAGCTCCTCACATCATGTAGCACAAACACAAAGCCCCCACCCCAGCCTGCCCTGGAAATGCAGGAGGCCCACCCCAAAAAGGAGCCTGAGCCTCTTTTAAGAGCACTCCCTGCAGCTGCACGCTAGTCCTCTTGCCTCGTGCTAACCCAGCACCTCCGGGCCTCCCCCAACGCCAGCTCCACATAAACCCCCACTACTTTCCCTTCTGAAGCCATGACTATGCGACACACCAGCTTGTATTTCAAGCTGACCTGACTGAGCTCTTTTGTTTTTTATAACTATCTTAACTGACGTTGGCACAAAGGATCTCATCAGACCCCAAATATCAAGAAGCCCACATGAGAATGTATAGCACCGGTCATAAACAAGCAAAGAGAACCGAATGTGCATTTCACTTTAAAGAGGAAATCAGACACCCCAGAATCCACATCACCCCCATTCCTCAACCCAGTCCCCAAAACACTCATGTTCAGTTAAAGTGCCTCCCTTCAAGCTCTCCACTCCCCTCTGCTCCCCTCACCCCTTCACGCCCCACTTTCTCCCTATCAACCGCCTTGGCTGCCACATACTCTGTCACTGGGTGCTGGCAGCCTCCAGGCACATCCCCCTCCAAGTATTTTTTTTAAATCCTTTAGCCCTGCTGACACCCAGTAGAGAAAGCTGGGCTTTGTCATTAGACACGGGCTGAGCTTGCAGCCTGAGAAGGCACCACGCCAGCTCAAAGCACAGCTTAATACACACCCCTCCCCACAGTTCACAGCTTTCTCCTCGGGAGAGAAGGTCTACTCTCTCCCCACCAGACCTGCTAAAGTTTCTCTCCACTAGTCCCCAGATATGGCAGGAGTTTTTCCCTTTTCTCAAATATATCCCCGCTACACAAGGAGAGTGCTGTGAACTTCCGGTTTCCGCCCTTCAAGCAAATGCCCAAGGCTGAGAAATTCATGAAGTTCATTTGTCCTCAACCCACTGCCATCCATTATAGATAGTTTGCTGGCCTACAGAATGTATGATGACACGGCACTAGTTTATAAGTCTACAATATGTTCCCAGAGCACAAGAAGACTTGTCTTTTTAGAGAAAAGTCTTCTTTGGGAAAACTGAAGGCTTTGAAGTTTTTCACCCCCCTTGAAATTTAAGAAGGGGTAAAGTGCTGTGGCTTTGTGGTGTCTCCTCCATGGAAACATGGCCCATGGGGCCATGAAACCCTGACTTCCAGAGAGCTCCTCACATCATGTAGCACAAACACAAAGCCCCCACCCCAGCCTGCCCTGGAAATGCAGGAGGCCCACCCCAAAAAGGAGCCTGAGCCTCTTTTAAGAGCACTCCCTGCAGCTGCACGCTAGTCCTCTTGCCTCGTGCTAACCCAGCACCTCCGGGCCTCCCCCAACGCCAGCTCCACATAAACCCCCACTACTTTCCCTTCTGAAGCCATGACTATGCGACACACCAGCTTGTATTTCAAGCTGACCTGACTGAGCTCTTTTGTTTTTTATAACTATCTTAACTGACGTTGGCACAAAGGATCTCATCAGACCCCAAATATCAAGAAGCCCACATGAGAATGTATAGCACCGGTCATAAACAAGCAAAGAGAACCGAATGTGCATTTCACTTTAAAGAGGAGGAAATCAGACACCCCAGAATCCACATCACCCCCATTCCTCAACCCAGTCCCCAAAACACTCATGTTCAGTTAAAGTGCCTCCCTTCAAGCTCTCCACTCCCCTCTGCTCCCCTCACCCCTTCACGCCCCACTTTCTCCCTATCAACCGCCTTGGCTGCCACATACTCTGTCACTGGGTGCTGGCAGCCTCCAGGCACATCCCCCTCCAAGTATTTTTTTTAAATCCTTTAGCCCTGCTGACACCCAGTAGAGAAAGCTGGGCTTTGTCATTAGACACGGGCTGAGCTTGCAGCCTGAGAAGGCACCACGCCAGCTCAAAGCACAGCTTAATACACACCCCTCCCCACAGTTCACAGCTTTCTCCTCGGGAGAGAGTGCCAAGGGCAGAAAAGATTGTGGGCTAGTCCAGCCTTCTCTGATCCGCCTTGGGGTTCTGAGAGCTCATCTGGCAGGCAGACCACCCTGGCAAAGGAGGCCAAGAGGCAGTCTGTATGTTTCCAAGAGGGCCCTCCCCTTACTCTGGGGAAAGAAACTTGAAGAAGAGCATCTTCATGTCCCAAAACATTCAGTGTCCCAGAAAGACTGAGATTTTCAGCCCCTGCAATTTGCCTGTCTAGCCCCAGTGCAGTGGCAGGACAATCTGAAGCTAAAATCCTGATGCTGCTGTTGTGGGTATACTCAATGAGGCAGTCAGTTGCTAGTTTTCAGAAGATGGAAAGAAACCAGCTTGCACTGAGCATTTCCCTTGTTTCCCCATACGCTCATCTCTTAGCCCAAGAAGACAAGTGTTATCACTGTCCTTGTCACTGTTAGGGGCCTGCTGCAGAGAGTTTATGTACCCTGCCCATCAACCAGGCACAGACTCTCTGACTCCAAAGGCATCAAGTAGGCCTTAAAAGGCAGCTTGATCTCTATCAGCCGGAACATTCCTCTTCTCCACTCTCAGCCCAGAAGCTTCCAAAAGCCACTTTCTCCACCCCGACCCCATCTTCATTTTTACATCTATGAAATGAGGACAGTTCACTCAGTTACAACTTGAGGACTAATTCATACAAATGACAGTAAGCTACTTCACAAGTCTTAAAGGACAAACTGCTCCTCCTTCCAGCAACAAATGCCAACTTGCAAAGGAAAGATCAAACAGGCTTTAATGCAGTTGCCCAGGTGGTCCCAGCTTACAGAGAAAAAAGACTTGCTCCTTCTTATAAATGATTTTATGTGCCAGAGTGGTTTCCCTGACCAAGGTAGTATCCCAGGGCTGTCATTCTTAGGGTCAGATATATCCAGAAACTTTACTAGCCATGGACTTAAGAATGCTGGTTAGCCACATGATCATTCCTGGGGATTTTAAAAGACCAGTGAGATGTAAGGAAGGCTCAGTGAATGGCCATGAGGGCCCAGTGATGGAGACCTCTCTTACTAGCTAGGGCCCGTTAAGTATAAAAAGAGGGCACACTGCTCCCACTTTCTGCACACAGCACCCACCCCCAGGAGGAAGGTTTGCACGATGTAGCATTCCTCCTCCAGCACTTTTCCTAAACATTGACCCAGGGCAGCTGGAATGGCCAAAACAACTGGCTCATGCCTCCAGAACCGAGCGTGTTTATTTCTCAAACAGCTGGCTTTTCATTCCAAATATAGCCCCCTCCTGGCCAGCCCTCACCTCCCATTCTGGGGGAACCCAGACTGGAAGACTAGAGATGCTTAGATAGCCACTGCCACTCCTCAGCCTCTACTACCAAGAAAAGAAGAGCTCACCAGAAATGACATCCCAGGGAGGCAGTCTTTCTTCCACCCTCTTCCACCTAGTCCTCACTCCCCCAGAGGGAAATACATCAACTTCCCAAACACCCTGCTTTACCATGACCCTAAACCAGAGACAAACAGGAGGGAAATTCATAAAAAGTTTCTAGGGAGCCTCACTTAGAGAAGGGTCATCTGAGACCCAGTGCAAAGCCAGCCTGTCCCATTGACACCACGTGCAGGGGGGCAACATGGAGCTCCCCAGACTTAAATCTTTGATGATCCTTCCTTCCCTGCCAAAAAGACTCCTCAGTTTGGTACTCAAGACCCGTCACCACTTGCCTAAGTATTATTCCACCACCCCCAAGATCTGTCTCACTCCCGCAATAACCCAGCTAGTTAGCATACCCTAAACATGCCCAAAGCTCACCTGCCTTACTTTTCATTATTGTGCAATTGCCCACTGGCATTCCCACCCACCTTCTGCAGAGGTAATCATATGCACCCGTGACTTGTCACTGGCCCTTTTTCTTATGATGGGCTCTATCCAAGCCTCTAATTCTCTCCAATGCCTGGCATGGAGCCTGGTGTGTAAGGCCCTCCAGCAAATGATGTTTGAAGCCAGTACCCCATAGGATATGGGTAGAGGCTTGGAGTAATTCCAGAAAGCTCTTTCATCCAACCAAAGCCAAACCAGACACTGCCCATCTCTCTCTTCCCTGTATGGTCACTGCTCTGTGTGGCCCATCTGCCACTGGCTCCATTCTCAGTCTCTCTGTGTCTGCTGTCACTCTCTAGACCCTACGTGGACCTGGTGAACCTGCTGCTGACCTGCGGGGAGGAGGTGAAAAAGGCCATCACCCACAGCGTTCAGGCTCAGTGTGAGCAAAACTGGGGAAGCCTGTGCTCCATCCTGAGCTTCTGCACCTCAGCCATCCAGAGGCCCCCCACGCTGCCTCCTGAGCGCCAGCTCCAGGTGGACAGAGCCAAGCTCTCCAGGGCCCACCACGGGGAAGCGGGTCACCACCTCTTGGAGCCCAGTAGTCGGGAGACAGGCCGAGGTGCCAAGGGCGAGCGAGGTAGCAAGAGCCACCCAAACACCCATGCCCGGGGCAGAGCAGCCAGCCGTGGGGCACAGGGAACTTCTGGAAGCAGCGAGTGGGAGGATGAACAGTCTGAGTATTCCGATATCCGGAGGTGAAACAAAAGGCCCGGCCGGGAAATCTTTCCTCCATGCCGTCCATTTGCTTCTCTATGGACATTCCAAAACATTTGCCATTGAAGAGGGGGGATGTCACACGCAGGATTTGGTGGGGATTGCAGACTTGAAGAAGGTGTATGTTGGAATGAACAGGTAAGGCAGAGAATCCCTGGGCAGCAGTGAGGTCTGGCCTGTGCCCAGCAGGTTCGACACTCCCACATCCCGAAATGAGTGTGCCACCTGTCCTCCTCGCAACTTTGTCTTCTTTCCATCCTGGAGCCACTGGGTGGCAGCCTGCGGTTCACTCTGCTGTGGGGGAGGTGGCCCCAGGGACGGGTCAGGGGTCAGTGGGCCCCGCCCCACAGCTGCGGTGCTGTCTTGGTGGAGGGCGAATGGACTCCAGTGCGGGAGTGAATGTGAAAATCTCTGGGAATCAGAAGGGTGGAGAGGAGGCAGGGGCCGTGTAGGTGCTTGGCGACAAACCAAGATTCAGTTCCTTGCATGGGACCGTGAGGTCTGGAGCTGCTTGTTGGGGGGAGGGCAAGGGTTCTAAGTATAATTTCTGAGCCATTGTTCTGTCTGGGGATGGTATCCGAGGGAGTGGCCCCTGTGTGTTTATATTTTAACCACTGCTTCAAATCTCAATTTCACTTTTTTATTTATCCAGTTACATCTACATATCTGTCATCTAAATAAATGGCTTTCAAACAAAGCAACTGGGTCATTAAAACCAGCTCAAAGTGGGGGGAAAAAAGCCCATCTTTAGTGGCTGATTTTTTTTTTTTTGAGCGTTATTTTAAAAGGAATCAAAGAGTAATGTAGCTGTACGTCTGACTGCCTGGCATGGGCTTGTAGCCGCTTCAGGCAAACCCCACCCCTGCAGGGAAATGCACAGACAAGGGGTACATATGACAAATTTCCATTAGCATTTTGTTCTCCTTGACCCTCAGCCAAAATCAATAAAGGACCATACCCTGGATTCCGTGAAGGCAAATTGGAAACCTGGCTTCTGCATGCTAGAGGATTGAAAAGGGGAGAAGAGAGGGAAGACTACTCAATAATTTCCAGCAGGGAAGGCCGACCTTTCTCATAAATGGGGGAAACGGCCGAAAAACCAAGGGACACATTTTTTCTAGATCCCAGCCTGGAAATACAGCAATGAGGAAAGAGTCAGAGTAAGCAAAAGAAAGGCAGAAAGGAGAGACAGAAGTAAAAATATGAGGAACAGGAAAGGGTTGTAAGAGTATCAGCAGTGGAATCTTGTGGTTATTTTAAATGTTTCAGAGGTAAGCCCTTTCTTTTCTTTCCTAATGGGCTATCAAATTAAAGTTTATCCTTTCTTACAGCCAGTACTCAAATAGGAGCCCAGTATTGTGAGGAGTGGACAGGGGTTCTGGGCCAGGCCCTTCTAGAGCAGAGGTCAGCAAACTTCTTCCTAAAGGTCCCAATAGTAAATCCACTCTCTTCAGTTTGGCAGGGCATATGGCTTCTGCTGCGACTACTCAGCCGCTCCACTGTAGCCTAGAAAGACATATGCAGACGACACATAACAAATAGGCTTGGCTCTGCTCCCATAAAATTTTATTTAACAGATGCCCAGTTGGATTTGGCTCCCGGGCCTGAGTTTGCTAACCCCTGTTCTAGTAAGTGGGCAAAAAAGTATGCATCCTCCGTTTATATCAGCTCACAGCTCTCTCTCAAAGCAACCTGAGGCCAGAGATAAAGAAGCTAAATTTATCTACTCTAAAATGATTTGTTCTGGGGAATGATCTTACTCAAAACACAGCTAGTATTTATATACCCCAAATCCAATCTCATTGCTGCCAGGACATGGGGCTGGAGGGTTATCTCCCTAATCTTTCATGATCCATGTTGGAGAGATGATCTCCATTTGGGTGTAGGGAGGGGGTGGGTGGGGGACAAAATGCTGGGAAAGCACCTAGAAAGAGCTGGAGCTGCAGAAAGCAGAGGAGATGGTGTGCATTTAATCCAGCTCTGCCCGCGGTGGGGGAGGAGGACCGGTGTGTCAGGCTCCGCCATGGGAACCGAACGTAAGCCATGGCTGTCGCCTGCCATGGGCCGCTGCAGCACATTGACTGTTTTACTTCAGAAGCTGAAGCAATAACATTCTCCCGCATTGCTCTGTCAGCTGTTCATTTGTTCGTGGCTCCTGGGCTGGATGTGAAAGGCATCACTTTTGTACTTTCCTCAATGTAAATGTTTTATGTGTTCGCCTACTGATGTCCCATTTGTTGCTTCTATTGTAAATATTTGTCATGTATATTTATTATCTCAGCTTGTTGCCCCCCCCAGGGGGCAACATTTCTTATATGTTCATTTGAACCCCTTTGCTGATCTCTGTTGTACATTTTTCATGCCACTGGTTTGTTTCTCAAAAGTTAGGTACGTATCATTTCAGCCTGGTTCCTAATGTTTTGCAGTATACAATTGTTTTTATTGGTAAGGTTCTTTTGGTCAAAACTGAGGAAAAGTGCAAATTCCTGTAGGCACTGACAGAGCTATTTGTACAATCTAAAATGTAACAAAGTAGTCATTAAAAATAGACCCTCAACTTGGGCTTCATAATTCATATAAAGGGGTTACTCATGAGCCTTCCTTTGAGGAAGGATGTGGATTTCCAAATAAAGTATGATGTTTATTTTAAGCTTTGCATCTTAACAAGATGATCTGAACACCTCTCCTTTTGTGTCAATAAATAGTCCTCTTATTCTGAAATGAGAGGACTGAGTATAGTGAAATGCTGACGCCCAAAACCAAATACATAGAAAACAGCAGCCCAGAACTGTGCTCATACTCTCATGCACACAGGCACACACACCCACAGAGAAATTTAAACTCAAACCAAGTAAAAGGCTTCACTAAAACAACATGGAAAAACAATGCTTCCAGGGCCCATTTCCTAAGGAAGAACAACCTCGTCTGATCTCAGAATTGGCACCACGTGAGCTTGCTAAGTCATAATATCTGTTTCTGTTACGGATTTAGGCAGCAGGTCCTGTATATTGTCACATGGCATTATTTTTCTCCAAGCGTTAATAAAGGTTTTAAATAAATGCCTTCCGCTCGAGTAGCATTATTGTCTGAGAGGACATCCAGGGCAAAGGGGTGCCCTGGACTTTTGAGCAAGTGGGCTTTGAGCCTATTTAGAATACTGCATGTGCAGTTTGCAGGGAGGGAAACAGGTGAAGAAGAGCACCCTGGACTTCCTCCATCAGAGGGACTCTGTCCAAAACCCTGCCGGCCTCAAACACCAAAGAGGAGAATGAACTCCATGCTGCTCCATGGAAGCACCAGCAACCCCAGCCATTAAGGGGGTCCTCTGGCTCCCTCTGGTCTCACCTTTGAGTCTCCCCTGTGGCCTGGCCACCCCTTCTTTGAGACAGCCTGCTACCAGCATAGCTGCTCAGTGGCCTGGCACAGGCAGGGAAGCTCACTGCCTTCCCACTCCACCTCCCCACCACAGAACAGAGCTGGAATCCCTAGATGACTACAGTTCACGCAACCATTGTGGTAGCTACTATGTGCCAGGCACTGTACTAGGCATTTTGCAGACATTACCTCACCCTGCATACACCCCATAAGGAGAGGTATTGTCCTCAGTTTACAAGTGAAGAAACTGAGATAGAGAAGGTAAAACAAATGGTCCCAAACCCTGCGGCTAGTGCATGGGTAGTCTGAACTCCAGTTCAGATCTATGATTCGAAGCTCACAAGCTTTCCCCCACTTCAGGCCTAGAATCTCCACATTTGATTTATTTTCATTTAAGCCAATCAGTTTTATTCCTATTTTACACAAGGCTTAGAGAAGGAATAATTATACACTTATATTTATAGCACGAGGCCTCCAAGGAGTTCTGCTTTAGAACAGAAAGGAAAATTGATGCTCTTACCTTTCTTCTCTGTAAAGTCTCAAATTTTGGCTCAGATAAGGGAAAGCAGGGGAATCATAAAGTTGCTTCACTTTTCTGTGTATGAGGGTGACTCTGTAAAGAGTTCTTCTCAGGTGCCACTGAGGAAAGCATTTTGGGAGCAGCTAGCTTTGTAAACATGTGTCTAGAGCTTTCTCCACTAAATGCCACCCCCACCCCCAATCACAGCCCTAAGAAGCCAGGCTCCCCTGAAATCCTCACCACCATCGTCATCTTCACCAAGATAGATGCAATTTCTTGTGGGTCTATTATGTTTCCCTTGTGCTGCCCAGTGCTTTACAGTTATTAGTTCTGAACCCCATTTTGTAAATGAAGAAACCGAGGCTCAAAGGCATCTTAATATGCCTGGAGCCCATCCTAAGGCCAGCAAGTTCCAGAGGTGACATGCCAACCCACTCCAGGGCTCACTCTGCCCAGTCTTACAATCTCTCACACCAGGTGCAAAAATCTGGCTTAAATATACCCAAGTTCAGAAACCCAGCTGCCTCCCCGCAACCTTCAGAATTGCTCCAGTCCATCAGTTCGGGAGAAGGAAGGAGACTATAGGAGGAAGAAGTCAGGGCTTCCAAATATGCTAGTATTTCAGCAAACTTCGAAAGGAAGCTGAAGCTAAGCACCCCAAAATCTGGGGACAGAAATCTGAACTTGTTCTAAAATCAACAAAAAAGAAAACCCCTGCTGAGGAGGGGACAAGCCTTGGCCAGGGAGCAGGTTTCATGTGGAATTATTTTTTGTGGGCGGAGAAGAGAAGAGCTATAGAAGCCTTAGGCAGGAGTCATGCCTTGCTGCTTACATAAGCAGTCCAGTTTTTATCACTCCCCAAAAAGAACACACACAAAAAAAAGGCACTTCCCAAAGAGAATGGGGAGGGTATGGGGGGAAATAAGCCACAAAGCCAACCTAGGCTTCTTCATGAAACGCCCCCCGCCGCCACCAGGGTGAACCTGCCATTCCACAGAGCCCAAGCCTCGTAGCACTTGAGGGTGTCCACCCACCCGCCACCATTTAACATCAGGTCTGCCTGGGCGAGCTCAAACTTGGGAGAGACAAGAAGAGCTGCTCTGAGGAATTCTCAGAGGCAGGGCAGTTGTTTACAAGGTGCAGAGGAGAATCAGCTGGTTCCATTCTCCATTAGACAGTTTCCAAGATTTGTTCAGGTTCTTGAAGCTAAGGGGGAGCACCCTGTAAAAAAATGCAGCAACTAAAGAGGATGGGGGCCGCCTGCCTGCTCGCCCTCCCGAGCCAGGGACAACGCTCCGCAAGAGGCTGGTGTTGCCAGCAGGGCTCCGTGCAGGAGGAATAATCAGGCCCTAGCATTCTGTCCCTGTTGTTTATGTTAACAAGTACTCCCAAAACTCAGTCGATTAAAACAATCCTTTTGTTTTGCTCACAATTTTGTGGATCAGAAATTTAGAAAAGGCTCAGCTGGAATGTTGTTCCCTTCTCTACGTGGCACCGGCCTGGGCACCGGGGCTGGCAGGCCCCTTCCCAGGTGGCCCTTTCAGGATGACTCCTTAGTGCTCCTGGCCTCTTTGTCCCTCCCTGTTTCTCCACATGGCACCTTATCCCCTACAAGGCCTCTCAAAGCATGGCAATCTCAGGGTGACTGGCTTCCCCAAGAGAGGCTGGAAGATCTTACAGCACATTTTTCAATCTAAACTAGAATTTTGATTTCATCCTTGGTACTGTAACAACTCCAGGATCCAAACACCAGGAGGGCACAGACCGTGTCACTTCTGCACACAGTTTCAGTCTCCCCAGCAGCCAGGCCATTGCACAGCATGGACGAAACTTATATTTATAGCACGAGGCCTCCAAGGAGTTCTGCTTTAGAACAGAAAGGAAAATTGATGCTCTTACCTTTCTTCTCTGTAAAGTCTCAAATTTTGGCTCAGATAAGGGAAAGCAGGGGAATCATAAAGTTGCTTCACTTTTCTGTGTATGAGGGTGACTCTGTAAAGAGTTCTTCTCAGGTGCCACTGAGGAAAGCATTTTGGGAGCAGCTAGCTTTGTAAACATGTGTCTAGAGCTTTCTCCACTAAATGCCACCCCCACCCCCAATCACAGCCCTAAGAAGCCAGGCTCCCCTGAAATCCTCACCACCATCGTCATCTTCACCAAGATAGATGCAATTTCTTGTGGGTCTATTATGTTTCCCTTGTGCTGCCCAGTGCTTTACAGTTATTAGTTCTGAACCCCATTTTGTAAATGAAGAAACCGAGGCTCAAAGGCATCTTAATATGCCTGGAGCCCATCCTAAGGCCAGCAAGTTCCAGAGGTGACATGCCAACCCACTCCAGGGCTCACTCTGCCCAGTCTTACAATCTCTCACACCAGGTGCAAAAATCTGGCTTAAATATACCCAAGTTCAGAAACCCAGCTGCCTCCCCGCAACCTTCAGAATTGCTCCAGTCCATCAGTTCGGGAGAAGGAAGGAGACTATAGGAGGAAGAAGTCAGGGCTTCCAAATATGCTAGTATTTCAGCAAACTTCGAAAGGAAGCTGAAGCTAAGCACCCCAAAATCTGGGGACAGAAATCTGAACTTGTTCTAAAATCAACAAAAAAGAAAACCCCTGCTGAGGAGGGGACAAGCCTTGGCCAGGGAGCAGGTTTCATGTGGAATTATTTTTTGTGGGCGGAGAAGAGAAGAGCTATAGAAGCCTTAGGCAGGAGTCATGCCTTGCTGCTTACATAAGCAGTCCAGTTTTTATCACTCCCCAAAAAGAACACACAAAAAAAAAAGGCACTTCCCAAAGAGAATGGGGAGGGTATGGGGGGAAATAAGCCACAAAGCCAACCTAGGCTTCTTCATGAAACGCCCCCCCGCCGCCACCAGGGTGAACCTGCCATTCCACAGAGCCCAAGCCTCGTAGCACTTGAGGGTGTCCACCCACCCGCCACCATTTAACATCAGGTCTGCCTGGGCGAGCTCAAACTTGGGAGAGACAAGAAGAGCTGCTCTGAGGAATTCTCAGAGGCAGGGCAGTTGTTTACAAGGTGCAGAGGAGAATCAGCTGGTTCCATTCTCCATTAGACAGTTTCCAAGATTTGTTCAGGTTCTTGAAGCTAAGGGGGAGCACCCTGTAAAAAAATGCAGCAACTAAAGAGGATGGGGGCCGCCTGCCTGCTCGCCCTCCCGAGCCAGGGACAACGCTCCGCAAGAGGCTGGTGTTGCCAGCAGGGCTCCGTGCAGGAGGAATAATCAGGCCCTAGCATTCTGTCCCTGTTGTTTATGTTAACAAGTACTCCCAAAACTCAGTCGATTAAAACAATCCTTTTGTTTTGCTCACAATTTTGTGGATCAGAAATTTAGAAAAGGCTCAGCTGGAATGTTGTTCCCTTCTCTACGTGGCACCGGCCTGGGCACCGGGGCTGGCAGGCCCCTTCCCAGGTGGCCCTTTCAGGATGACTCCTTAGTGCTCCTGGCCTCTTTGTCCCTCCCTGTTTCTCCACATGGCACCTTATCCCCTACAAGGCCTCTCAAAGCATGGCAATCTCAGGGTGACTGGCTTCCCCAAGAGAGGCTGGAAGATCTTACAGCACATTTTTCAATCTAAACTAGAATTTTGATTTCATCCTTGGTACTGTAACAACTCCAGGATCCAAACACCAGGAGGGCACAGACCGTGTCACTTCTGCACACAGTTTCAGTCTCCCCAGCAGCCAGGCCATTGCACAGCATGGACGAAAAAATGAATGAGTGAAACCTCTTATCTAAGAGGGTGCCAAGTTGTTGAATCAGATTAAGTTTCAATTCACTTCAACTTCTAAAGTAAATACATCCCTGTGTTCTTATAAGGGGTATTGACATGTCACAGAATCAATGAGTGAGTGTCAATATTAAAAATCACTAGGAAACCTATTTTGAAGACAGGAGATATTTACTTGTCTTGCATGAGGTAAATCTCTCTCTTTTTTAATGTAATGACTGAAAAGATAGATCAGGACTGGCCCTGAGATCTTGGCAAATGGGTTATACTTTCTAAGCCTAGTTTCTTCAACTGCAAAATAAGTAAACTAACAACTTCCCTGCTTCCCTCACAGGGATAATAACAGTGAATATAGAATGTCTGAAGCCATGCAAAAGTCACAATACATAGGAAATGCTTTGAAGACCGTGAAAT